CGCCCCAGAGTCCCAACAACGCAAGAGTCGAGGGCCCTGAGAGAGGCCCAGAGCGGCCCAGAGAATCCCCCGAGATGGCCGCCCAGGGCGTCAGACGGACCACGATGCCCTAGGACAGTCCACGAAGACCTTGAGGAGCCCCACAGGTCCCGAGGAGGCGCCTGAGAGGCCCCCGAGACTACAGTCAACGCTCAACGCGCATAGTAAGGACGCGCGCCTTTTCTAGGATACCCCTGTGTCCTTGCTTCTGCGGCCCGTCCTTTGCCGTTTCCATTGGGGTTTTGGTCGCCCGCCGACCAAGAAATCCCGATTTCGGCCTCCAAGGGTCTTTGCGTCCTTACCACCCGTCCTTAATATACGTTTTCACTGTACCCCAAAAGGCCCCAGAGCCCCCTGGAGGCCCTCGAGAGCTTCGACTTGGAAGTTGTGTTGGGCACACCAGCTGCCCGCTGGAACACGCGGCAGTCCGATGTCATCTTGGGCGTCCTGGAGGCCACCGCGGGCCATGTCCGTCGTCGTCGGGGACCTGGTGTGGCGACTCTGGGACATTCCTCGGAGCTTCCAGTCGACCCAATCCGAACCGCCCCACCGCGAAACCTTGCATTCACAGCCCGTTTTGAAGCACGCCTGCTGGAAGACGCCGCAGTTCAAAAGAGGAGCCACACGGACAAGGATAACCGGACGGGAGTACCTTCCCCGTATTGGCTAGCGTCCCTGGGTTCGCCTCCCTTTCCCCCCCCCCCTCCCCCCAGCCCCCCTCAAGCCGTGCAACAAAGTCCACTCTTGCTTGGGTTTGCCCCTGCCTGTCTAGCCGATCGTCGTCTAGGCCTCCTAGATGGGGCCCGAGTAGATGGGGTCGGAGGATCGCACCGATGCATCGGCGACGCGGCTCGATGTGGAGCCCGATTTTCTTCACGCCGACGTCGGCGGTGCAGCGCCGACGTCGCAGGTGCATCGCCGATGCATCGTCAATGCATCGCCAATGCATCGGTGATGCATCGGCACTGCGGCGCGATCCTCCGACCACATCTACTCGGACCCCATCTAGGAGGCTTCTAGGTGGCCTCCCCAGAGCCGAGGTCTTCGTCCTCGCCAGGTCCCAGAGCCGCCCCGCCGCCTCGCCTCGCCGCCTGGTCCACTCGCTGCACTTCTCGATGAGGGCGTTGCGTGACGAGGGGGCGGAAAGGGGCCCTAAAGGGCCCTCCCTAGGGCCCTTCGGGGCACCTACACTCCTCCTCGAAATCAAGCGCAAGAGTATTTTTCGCGACGTGGCGGCGGCCTAAGGGTCCCGAGATTTCAATATTCACGCCGAAATCTGACCCCGTGGGCCGCGTTTTGCACGTCGACCAGCATCAACAGCTTGCCTTTGGTCTCTAGGAGAGTTGTAAAGGGGTCCCCTGGGGCCCAGCAGGTATACGACGGGTGGACGTTTCCCCCCCCCCCCCCCACCCACCCACCCACCTCCCCACCGCACCCCCCGCTTACCATCGCCCCATCAACGAACGCCCGCTCCGGTCCGCTGGCTGCGCTTCTCGCGCCGCCCGGGGCGATCTGAGCCGAGCGGGCGTTCATTGTACACCGGGCGGCCCTGGGGCAGAGAGGGGTGCGCGTCCTGCTCCCGGTCCCCTGCGCGGTCCTTCCTGGAGGGGAGATCTGAGCCGAGCGGGCGTTCATTGTACACCGGGCGGCCCTGGGGCAGAGAGGGGTGCGCGTCCTGCTCCCGGTCCCCTGCGCGGTCCTTCCTGGAGGGGAGATGGGGGAGAGGGGGCTGGGCAAGCCAGGTGCGTTCGTGCCACATCCGACATCCTACCTCTCTCTCTCTCACTCTCTCTCTCCCGTGCCTGGCCCGTCGCGCTGATTTTTGTTCTACGTGCCAACAGGTCTCAGGGTGTCGTAGCGGGGGGGAGGGGAGGGGGACGAGGGGAGGGGAGGGAGGGAAGGGAGAGAGATGGGAATGAAGGGTGATGGGAGTTGAGCGGATTGAGTGAGGCAAGCGGATGTGGCGGGAGAGTGGGAGACGGAAGGGATGAGTGCAAGAACATTTGAAGCATGTGCGAGGGCGTGGAGAGGATCAGATGGGAGAGCGATGTGGGGAGGAGGGGAAGGTGGAAGATCAGCAGCAGGAGGAGGATGGGGACGATATGTAGTAGGAGGAGGAGGAGGAGGAGGAGGAGGAGGAGGAGGAGGAGGTAGAGGTGAACGAGGACTGACGCTACGGGCCGTGGCGCCCATCAGCCTGCTCAAGAAAGGTGAACGAGGAGGAGGAGGAGGAGGAGGAGGAGGAGGAGGCGGAGGCGGATAATGAGGTCCATGGGGAGGAAGATAAGGATTTGGGATATTGTTTGCATTTGCGACGCCGTGGAGCCCTGTGCCCTGTATATATGACGCAGTACTTGGACGCGCATTTGATGTTGGAGTTCCCGACCGTGTATTAAACCATTTCGTGTTTGCTGTGAGATGTCATCGTTGCTTGTCCGTTGTTGGCGCGCTGCCACGGTCTGCTCTAGAATCTAAGCGCGCGCCCAGCGCGTGCGCCGCGTGGTCTAGTGCATACCTACGTGTAGAAAGTTATCGTGTATACCTACATAAAACATATGTTAATCATATCTGCAACAGTGCCCCGAGGCACGAGTCGGAGTGTCCTCAGGTCATTTGGAGCCCTCCGTCTCAGTCCTGAAAGACATTTATCCTTCCGCCTGCGGCAATTCCCACCACCGTGACAGCCCAGCATGCTGGGTGGCGACAGTTCGAGGATGGGAGAGCCGTGATGGCGATGATGATGATGATGATGATGATGATGATGATGATGATGATGATGATGATGATGATGCTGATGCTGATGCTGATGATGATGATGATTATGATGCTGATGCTAAGGCTGATGGTGATGATGATGACGATGATACTGATGATGGCGATGCTGATACTGATGCTGCTGCTGATGATGATGGTGATGGTGATGTGATGATGGTGATGGTGATGACGATGCTGATGGTGGTGATGGTGATGGTGATGTCGATGGTCATGCTGCTGGTGATGATGATCGTGATAGTGATGGTGATTGTGAAGATGATGGTGAAGATGCTGATGCTGATGATGATGATGCTGCTGATACTGATAATGGTGATGGGGATGGTGTTTGTGGTAATGGTTAAGCTGACCATGGCGATCATGGTGGCTGTGAAGGTGAAGATGAAGATGCTGATGATCACGATGCTGATGACGATGGTGATGACGCTGATGATGCTGGTGGTGATGGTGATGGTGATGGTGACGATTCTGATTATGGTGATGATGATTGATGATGGTGACGATGATGACGACGATCACGATGCTGATGCTGATGCAGCTGATGTCGGCAATGATGATGATGATGTTGATGATGACGATGACGATGATGATGATGATGACGATGATGATGATGACGATGATGATGATGATGATTATGCTAAAGGTGCTGATGGCGGTGATGATAATGACGACGAATGGTAACGCTGTTGATGATACGGGCGAGGATGATAAGAGTGATGATTATGATGCAGGTGGAGGTCCTGGTGATGATGCTGATGTTGATGGTTGTGGTGATGATGACGATGTTGATGGTTGTGTCGGTGGTGATAATGATGATGATGATGATGATGATGATGACGATGATGATGATGATAATGCTGCTGATGCTGATGATTATGATGATGACGACGATGATGCTGATGATTATGATGCTGATGATGATGATGATGATGATGATGATGATTATGGTGATGATGATGATGATGATGATGATGATGATGATGATGATGATGATGATGATGATGATGATGATGATTACGAGATTATGATGATGATGCTGATCGTGATGATGCTGATGATGATGATGATGATGATGATGATGATGACGACGAACAGGAGGAGGAGGAGGAGGAGGAGACGGAGGAGGGTGAGCAGGAGCAGGAGGAACAGGAGGAAGAGAACGGCCGTCACATGCGGCACCGTTGCGTCTTTACCATTTGAGGAGCTCATATGGAACTCGTTTGGGCCGTCTTGGGAGTGTCTCGGCCTCCTGTGAGGCAGTCTTAGCGGTCCCTTGGGGCCCTTCGGGCCGTCTTGAGGCCCTCGTACGCCGCCTTGGGGTCTCCATCTTGATTTTTCCTCATCTCGAGTGCTGCCAAGTCCGGTCGGAGCAAGTCTGGTTGGGGCCAAGGGGCTCCATATTTGGTGGGCCTCCAGCTGGACTCGGCTTCTCCTAAGAGGTTGGAGGCCTGGGACTTGCCCTGTTCCCACCTCCAGGATTTCGTCAAGAACATGCCGATGGGCGTGATGGGCGGCAAGGGCAGCCAGCAGAGGTTCTCCCAGGCTTTAGGGGCGCGGGGGTGGTCGTTGACCCCGCCGCCGCCGTCGCCGTGGCGTCGTCGCCGTCGTCGTCGTCGCCGCCGCCGACGTCGTCTTCGTCATCGTTGTCGTGGCGTCGTCGCGGTCGCGTTGTTGGCACCGTCGCCCTTCGGAGGAAATTGATGGGGAGGAATGGTGCGAACGGAGGGGGGAGGAGCGGCAGGCAGGGACGAGGGTGCGGGGGAGGATGCAGGGGGAGAAGGAGGACGTGGAGGGGCATTGCGACTACGTTTGGGATGCGCTCAGCGGTTTGCAGCCTTATTCGGGCTTCTGCAGATCTTCAAAGGTGTTCGGAGGCGCTGGAGACGATGAGACGGGGGGAGGGGGGAGGGGGGAGGGAGGGGATTTGAAGAGGACAATGCGGGAGGATGTGGAGGAGAAGGGTTCCGAGGAGATATTTTGCGGGATTCCAGTTCTTAGATCCGTCTGGGGGCTTCTCTGGATTCCAGGATTCGGGAGGCGGAGGAGGATGGAGAAGGACGAAGATGCAGAGAGGATGAGGATGAGGAGGAGGAGGAGGACAAGAAAACACACAAAACAATGATGGAACAAGGACGGGAAATGACAAGTAATTACGATGAGTTCTGCGTTCGCTGCCCTCGACGATAAGCAGCACGATCGAAATGGGGACGGAAAGCATGGTGACGAAGACCGACAGCAGTTCCTGTCCATTTAGAACAGGACTCGTTGTTGGTATCGCGTGGACTCACTGTCGGTGTCGCTGGGGACGTTGCCCGTGTGATACACAACGCCGCCTCCCCAACAGCGCCTGTCCGACATTTGCCGTTGGGCATCCTCGGGGATTTCTCGCATTTGCGTTGCGCCCCCCTGGCGGCGCCTCCGGCGCTGCCCTGGAGGGTCCAGCCGCGAACCAAGAGATTTGCGCGGAGTTCCGAGAATTTATGTTTCTGCAGGTGTGCGATTTTTTTTAGATAAGAAAGCACCAGCCCGGTGTGCATGTATTATTGGCATCGCCTGATCTCGGTGCCGATCTTAGGGACCCCCGAAAGTTTCTGAGAGCGCAGTCCCACGATTGTCGTCGCTTTGGGGCTTGTCGATCTTAGGGATAGGGAATCGCTCGAGTCTGGTTCCAGAGGGGGCGGAGGAAGGTCGAGACGTGGCAGGAGGGAGGAGGAGGAGGAGGAGGAGGAGGAGGAGGAGGAGGAGGAGGAGGAGGAGGAGAGGAGGGGAGGAGGGAGGACGGGAGGGAGGGAGGAGGTGGAGGAAGGGAGGAGGGTTGGAGGGAGGTAGGAGGAGGGAGGATAGGAGGGAGAGTGGAGGAGGGACGGAGGGAGGAGGAGGGAAGGAGGAGGGAGGAGGTGAGGGTAGGAGGAGGAGGAGGAGGATGGAAGGTGGAAGCGGGTGGAGGAGGAAGAGGAGGAGGAGGAGGAGAAAGAGGAAAAAGAGGAGGAGGAGGAGGAGGAGGAGGAGGAGGAGGAGGAGGAGGAGGAGGAGGAGGGAGGAGGGAGGAGGAGGAGGAGGAGGTGTGCGCGTCCCCGGCTGCTCTGCACTGCCCTGGACAAGTCATGCAACTTGCGCCGACGAGCCGTCTGCTTTCGCCGCCCTCGGCGTTTCGTAGTTTCTGGCCTCTGGGGTTGAGTCGGGCCTGTCCCTCTACAGGAGGAGTATTCAAAAATAGTCAAAATATAGTCTGAGGACGATTGTTTGAATCTTTTTTGGCCATGTTGGGATAATATGTGTTAACCATTTTTCTTTCTTCGTCCAAAATCCGCCTACAGGGGGACATGCCTGACCTGGCTCTGGGGGCAGTCTTCGGGCCCTGGGACCGTCTGAAACGGATCCTTGACGGAAAACTACCCTCAGAGAAGCCCCCCAGACGAGTCTTCGACACGAACTGCAAAAGTTGCATTGTTTGTTCAAGGGGTGGGTGAGCCCGCGAGTGCGTCACCACGACATGGGAGGAGATCACAAAGCGGCTCGCCGCTGAGCCGAGAAGGAAGCGATACCTATACCGGCGCTCGTCCTTGAGAGCCTTCGTCGCCTCGGCTGGATCCTCCGCGAGATCTTAGCCAGAACGCACCCCTGGAGAGGTGCGCCAAATGCGGCTCGCGGCCTGGGTAACACCGCCCGCCCAGATGGCGAGCATACATCGGGCGCGGCCCAGCAGAAATTGCCATGGGGTGCCGCGAGGTGCGCCGTCGGCTGAGCCATGTTGTGTGGGTCTGGCGCTATCCGTGGGCTGCGCTATGGGGATCGCGCCGCCTCGCGCGATGCGCCACCCACGAGTTGCGCCATTGCTTGCGTCGTATGTTGCGCCATCCACCTTTTGCGCCGTAGGTTGCCACATGGGCTGCGCCATCCGTGGGGTGCGCTATGGAAAGCGCCATGGGTCGGGCACTCGGCGGCCGAACATAGAACGGACTGCGCTTGGCATCGCTCGGACGTGTGCATTTATTTCTCCGCGGCGAGGACCATCGAAGAGCATCTTGGATCATCATGCGAAAAAATGCGCACGAAATCGAAACATGCACGGGGAATTGACGTCCGAGCGATGGCGAGTGCGAGTTACTTCGCAAGGTCGTGTCTCGGCGCCCGAACAGAAACGGCCTGCTATCGGCTGCGTCATAGGTGTGCGCACGCGGCGGCCGACAACCACTTCGTCGCGGGCCCGGCGCTCGCGCAGATCGTCTGCGGCCGCGGCCGAAACCAGACGGCCTGCTATGGGTTGCACCGTGGGTTGTGCCCCTGGCGGTCGAACGTGAAGCGGCGTATTCGTGGCTGTGCCACGCGGTGCGAACCCGCGGACCTAAACTATTCCGGTCTGCTAACGGGCTTGACCAGTCAGCCGGTCCGTCGGGCAGTCAGTCAGCAGCCAGTCAGCATTAGATGAACCTCGCCCAAGGAGTGTTCGGGCGCCCAGAGCCAGCCCCTGCATATCCGCCGTCGCTCAGCATCAGGAGGGAAATAACACAGGCACAATGAATCGTCGATTCCCAAGAAGATATGGGAACATATGGGAAGGGGGGTGGACAACGGAAACCCAGAACATATGGAAAGGTATGGGACATCCTGGGATTTGCGCCCGTTTGTTCGTGTGTCCCTGGGCCCCTTCTCTAGAATGTGCAGGGGAGTGGGGCCAGCTCAGAAGGACGAGAGAGGGAGGAATGGGGCGCGCGAGAGGCGCAGGGAAGAGGAGGAGCAGGCAGGAGGAGGAGGAGGTGGAGGAGGAGGGCGGAGGCATGTGGCACGAGAGGTGGATAGAGGTCGAGGGAAGACAGAGAGGATGACAACTGAGAGAAGGGCAATGTTGAGGGGGGGAGGTGGGAAGGGGGAGGAAAAGTAGGAAGGAGCAGGGACGAGGAGGAGGGCGGAGGTATGCGGCATGAAAGGAGGATCGAGGGCGAGGGGAGAGAATGGATGACAGTTGAGCAACGCAACAAGAAAACTGGGTCGTCTGCACCGACATTGGCGAGCAAGCTGCATACATAAGGTCGCGTGTAAGCGCCCTCACTTCCAATGCAGCGTGCCGCGCACGGGGCCCGCGTAAGCCGCGGCGTAAGGTCGCTACGTCACCTCACGTAAGACCTTTGTCAGCTCGTCGCCTAATTGAGAGCAGGGCAATGCTGAGGACGGGGAGGTGGGAGGACGAGGAGAAGGAGGAACGAGAGCGTAACGAAGAGAATCCAGCGAGCAAGGGAGGCAGAGGAGCAGTGACGCGGGAGGGGGTTGGGAGTGGGAGGGGAATGCGGTTGCAGGCGAAGATGGAGGGATGGTGAGCTTGGAGGGCGTAGGGGGCGGAGCAGGGAAAGTCGAGATCCTCCTCTTGCTCCTCCTCCTCGTCCTCATCATCATTCCTTTTCTATGACATTCAATGTGCCTGGGACATTTTGCGCAACAGAGGTAACCATCCGCATTAGACACCTGCGCCCTTGATAGTTGATGCATGGAGCCTCATGCATGCTTTCAGCTTTTGATTTGTCCGCACTCCTGGCTTTCGAGTAGTGGTTACGTACACCACGCCTTTCATTACGAGGTTTGAAGATCTCACGACATGTTGTTCTCTTGACCTCGAAGAACACCTTTCGTGACGCCGTGGCGCTGGAGCCTCCTGGCTGCGCCTCTGGCGCCGCCCTGGCGTGCTCCGCGCGCCAGGGAGGGGGTTTCAAGCGTTGTTGCTTGGGTGTGAGAAGGTGCCTGCGCACCAGGCTCTCGATGATCCTGACATCGATGAGGCCGAACGCCCTCTGCGCATCGGCAACCACGCGGCTGACCGAGCAGCGAAGCTCGGAGCCGCCGTGCATCCTTTGCCCTCGGACGAGACGTCCGCTACGGTCGCTCGCTCGATCGGGTGCGCCCAGTACGTGGTGCGCTTGGCGGCGGCCGTGCTGCCGCTCTGGCCCCGCACGGACTTGTCTGGAGGTCGAGTGGAGGGCGCCTCTGTTGAGAGTCCCTCGAGGGGTCCCCACCCCCCACCAGTGGGAGTGGAGAGGCCCGCCCGCTGGTTCCCAGGGGAGTGGGAGTGGAGTGGAGTGGAGAGGTCCCCACCCCCCACCAGTGGGAGTGGAGAGGTCCCCACCCCCCACCAGTGGGAGTGGAGAGGCGTTTTTGGCAGTGCTCAGTTTGCCTGCGCACGGCGAGGAGTGCTTGCAATGTCTTGCCCCCTCCTGGTCGTTGCAGCGGGGAGCCGAGAGTCAACGTGCAGGACTCTCCACGATTTCCGGCTCAGATGCGTGATTTCCGATTGTTCGAATGATTCGTTGCTGATCGTGTGCGCCATCTGTAAAGGGTATACTTCAGGCGGCCGTCTGGCAAAGCTTGGGGATCAGTGCACGGGTCCGCCCAAACATACGAAGACGGGCCTCGACAGGAAGTATGACCCGCATGGTTGGAATCAGATTTGCAGGGGCCTCCATCCTAAGTGGGGTGACCCTGCTCCCAGACTCTTTCAGTGTGCTATAGGCATGCAGCGTAGCGGTGGTGCTCAAAAACATCTCTCCCGTGCGTCCCCGAGGAAGTTCCCAAATGCTTCTGGAGGAGGCATGTCGGGGACTCCCATACGGTGTGGTGAACACACCGCGTGGTGAGTCAGTGGAGATATGTCGTCACCGCCCGGATTTGGAACTCGGGTCGTTCTCCGAAGACTTAATCGGGCGAACAGGGCCTCCGAGGTCCCAAGACCGTGCGGTGACGGACCGCGCGGTGAGGTCTCTTGGGATTTCGAGGTCACTACACGGTGTTGGGAACCCCAAGCCTCTTTGGAGTCCGACGAGCGGCCAAGAGCATCCATGAGCCAGGATCCTCGAACCTCGACTTGCCTCTCCTCCGCCTCCTTCTGCTTCTCCTCCTCTCCCTCGTGATCCCCTCGTCCACACGAAGGCAGAAGGAGCAGGCAAGAGGACGTCCTCTCTCCACCTTTCTTCCCTTCCCCCTCCTCTTCCCCGTCCTCCTAGAGGACAAGAGAGGAGGAGCACTTAGGAGCAGGAGGACGTGGAGGACGGCAGGAGGAGAGGGGAGGAGGGGCCCAGAAGGAGCGGGCGCATTTGAGGAGCAGGCAGGATGGAGGAGGAAGAGGCGGTACTGGAGTGAGGAGGCGGAGGAGAGGATGGCCAGCAGGGGAGGAGGAGGAGGAGGAGGAGGAGGAGGAGGAGGAGGAGGAGGAGGAGGAGGAGGGGGAGGAGGAGGAGGAGGGGCAACGGGCGACAGGGAGACGGGGGTCGCGGCAGGCCCCCGGCTCCGGCTGCGTGGCATTTGTGCTGGATGTGTCGGACGATTTTTCGGAGGCCCAGGTGGTCTTGACCGAGGCGGACAGGACCGCGGCCCATCCGGCAACGTCGTCTCATCTCGTGGTTCACTGCCGCCGCCGCCGCTGTCGACGTCATCCTCCTTCGTCGTCGCCGAAGTTGTCGTCGTCTTCGTCGTCGGCCTTCTCGTTTCCGACCTCGCCGTCGCGTGAGGAGGAGGGCGGAGGAGGAGGGCTGTGCATCCTCCGCCCTCCTTCCCCCGTACCTCCATTTCCTCCGTGCTCCTCTTCGTTGTCCTCTTTGTCCTCCTTCTGCTCCCTCCTCCTCCCTCGTACCCCTCCTCTTCGCACCTCCTCCTGGTCCTTCCTGTCCCTCTCCTTGTCTTGCTCCTCCCCCCTGACCCTCCTCTGCCTCTCCCTCCTCCCCTTCCTTCCCGCATCTGGCTCCCCGCGCGCGCTGGACGAGTCGATTCGTTTCGAGTGGAAGCTCACGGTCAGCAGGACGAGGACGAGGAGGAGAAGGAAGAGAAGGAGGAGAACACGAGGCGGACGAGAACGAGGAGAAGAAAAGGAGGACGAGGAGAGCGAGGAGGAGGAGGACGACGAGGAGAGCGAGGAGAAGGAGGACGAGGAGGAGGAGGAGGAGGAGGAGGAGGACGACGAAGGGGAGGATCGGCCCGCGTTTGGCAGCCCTCGCTCCCCCGTGGGTGCGTGGTCCCGGGACCCCTTATGGCCTGCGAGGGGGGGAGCCAGGTGCGCGGCGAGCGCTAGCGAGGGTGCTGAGGAAACAGCTCCAGGGGGGCGATTCGAACTCATTCGAAGCCGTTGTGTACACGTCGACTTCGAAATAACAGTCGAATCCTCCAGCCTTCATCTATTCACCGAGGAGCAACAATCTGCATAAACATAAACTTTCGGCACACCGAGCGGATTTCTTGGATCGGCGCTGGGCGCCCCTGGCGGCGCAAGCGTCTTCCCTGGCGCGCTCCGCGCGCCAGGGAGGGGGGTCCAACGCCGGTCCGAGAAATAAATCCGCGAGGACCCCCGAGTTTGTATGTCTATGCCATTGTGTGCTTGCTTCCCCAGGGATGCAACTCCAGGGAGGTTTAACTTGACATCGGCGTTATCATTCGGCGGCGATCCCAGGGGGGAAGCGAGATGGGACAGGCCTCTGAAGGCGGCGAGGCTTCCCAAAGCCCTGGCGCCTTCTGAGTAGCCGTCTCCGTCTTTGGAAAAGGCTCAGGTCCAGCAGAAGGCGGCTTCTGAGAAGCCCCGCCGCCTTCTGAGAAGGCCTGCCCAATCTCACTTTCCCCGGGGCTCGCCGCCGAGGTGTGTCCACGGTCGATCACCTGCCTGATCCAGCACACTCCCGCCTAATTCCGTTGCGTTCATGTCAGCGGGGTTGGCAAAGAGGGGGAGAATGACTAGGGGGGGGTATCATGGCAGGGGCCATGATATCTCCCCAGATTTCACGGCGCCTCTTCTTGTTTCAACGCGTCCCCGGTCCCCCCCCCCCAGGCCGCGCACATGACGCCGGCTATGATTTGCGCGCCCCCCCTTCTTGGACGCCCCCCTCTCGGACGCCCCCGATTTCACTCCAGTTCAATACGGTTGAATCGCGGGTTGATGCGACCTTTTTCCGTTCACTGGTCCGTGAATTTTGCTCAGCAGTTTTTCAACGTTCCCACGAAGGCCTCCCAAGCCCAGGAGCTGACTCCCGAAGGTGGTGCGGTCCAGAAGGTGCTTCGCCATCTGCCGAACAAACACACACACACACACACACACACACACACACACACACACACACACACACACACACACACGCACGCACGCACGCACGCACGCACGCACACACACACACACACAACACAACGTGATCGTTTTCTCATTCAGTGTGTTGCCGATCGGCGCGGGCCCTCGCGCCCCCTCCCCCCCCTTCCCAGAGAGTAGATCTTGCATGTTCTTGGCCTCTGTCTAAAGCAGGTGGAGTCACCTCTCCATAGGACGCCATGTTGCAAACAAAATCGCATTAAGGACCAGAGCCATGCCCCCCTCCCCCTTCGCTCACTGTCGAAACGCCGAATAGGAAAAACATTCACAATGCATTCGCATGCATATATATATATATATATATATATATATATACCCAGGTTTAGGGGGCCAGGCCGCCAGGAGTGTGCCTGCGCCCTCCATGGGGGGTCCAGGGCCCACTTTCCCTGTGTTTTTACAGGGTTTCGGCGTTGCAGGGCCTCCGAGCTCGCCAGGAGTGTGCCTGCGCTCTCCATGGAGGGTCCGGGGCCCACTTTCACTGTGTTGTTAAAGGGTTTCGGCGTTCCTGGGCCTCGGAGGCCGCCGCCTCCGACCGCCCATGGGAGGACGGGGCGGCCGGGGAGGTACAAAATAGTCCAGGAGGGCCTCCAGAGGCTCCCAAGACGGGCCAAGCGGGCCCCGAGTCGCCGAAAGACCGCTCCAGGACGCCCAAGATAGGCCCAAGACGGCCCGAGAGGCCACCCAAGGCACTCCACGACGCTTCAAGACGCCTCTCCAGAGCGCTTCAAGAGGCCGAAATCGTCAATTTTTATAAGGTTTTCGAACGATTTTGGCCTTCCAGCCTTTTCGGCTGTCCGACGTTCCAAGACGGCTCACTAGGCCCCCAAGAGCGCCCCAAGAGGGCCCCAAGAGGGCCCCAAGACGGCCCCAGAGTCGCCCAAGACAGCCCAACAGAGCCCCAAGACGGCCCCAAGATGCGCCCAAGAGGGGGACCACGACTCCCAAATTCGACCCTCCCGCTTGAAGAGTGCCCCAGGAGGCCCAAAGGAGCCCCCAAGAGGCCCCAGGAGGCCCCCAAGAGGCACCCAGGAGGCCCAAACGAGGCCTAAAGAGGCCACAAAACAGCCCCGAGGAGGCCCCACAACGGTCCCAAAACGGCTACCGAGAAGCTGCGAAACTGCCTTCACGACGTCCCCGACAGGCCAACCACGAGATCCTAACCAACACCCATGAGGCCTCTGACCCACCACCCAGGGCACGGTGGCGGAAGCAGTGACAGCACTTGTGCACAGCATGTTCCGGCGGGAGCCTTCGGAACACGCTGCAGGAGGAGGAGGAGGAAGATCAGGAGGAGAGAAAGGTGGAGTGGGAGGATGAGGGGGAGGAACGAGGAGGAGGAAGAGGCCTCCCAGACAGCTCCAAGATAGCCGAAGAGGCTTCCAAGAGGGCCCTGGGCGGCCCACGAGGGCCCCAAGGCGGTGCCTGAGGCGCCCAAGACGGCCCGAGAGGGCCCCAAGACGGCCCCAAGAGAGGCCCAAGAAGGGAAACACGAACTGAGAATCCGAGCTTTCTACCCCGAGAGGTTCTCGGAAAGTCCCAAGAGGCCAATCGGATCCAAGGGGCCCCCAAGAAGCTCCCAAGAGGGCCGACGAGGTTCCAAGAGATCTCCCAAGGTGGCCCCAAGAGGCACAGCTCGTTGTTCTACGAATGGGCTTTGACGGGTTTTAATGTTTCCTGCCTTTTGGCATCCCGATGCTCCAAGACGGCCCAAGAGGCTTCCAATACCGCTCCCATATAGAGGAAGAGGCCTCCAAGAGGGCCCCAAGACGGCCCGCGAGGGCCCCAAGACGGTGCTTGAGGCGCCGAAGACGGCCCGAGAGGGCACCAGGAGCCCCAAGAGAGGCCCAAGAAGGGGAACGCGACCCAACAGCAGAGCGGTCCCCCCACCAGGCCCACAGGAGGCCGCAAGAGGCCCCCAAGTGGTCCGACGAGGACCCCAAAAGCTTCCCGAGGGCCCAAAAGGCCCCTAGGAGACGTCCAAGAGGCTTTAAAATAGCCCAAGACTGCCCTCGATGCGTCAAAACTGCTTCCAGGACGCCCCCAGGAGGCTTCCGGATTGCCTCAATCTGGCCGCAGGTGGCCTCAAGTCGGGCCTCCACGCAGCCAAGACGGCCAATGACGACTTCGGATTGCAGAGCTGATGCCCCCAAGGGACTCTCAGACGCCCCCCCAAGAAGCACCCAAGAGGTGCCTCCAACCTCCAACAGCCAGTTGGCGAAGCATGCGAAACACCCCAGAAGCTCCTCAGATGCCGTCGCGCGCCTGTGCTTGATAGCGTTGTCCAAGATCGTCCAGCGCCTCCCCGGCCTGGGCTAGAGCCTGAGCGCGCGCGAAGCGCGCGCGATGGTTCTAGCCCAGGGGCCCGAAAACAGCTGCCCGACCCTCCATGGGAGTACCGGGGCTCATGTTCGCAGTGTTTTTACGGGGTTTCGGCGTCTCGGGCCTCGGAGGCCGCCGCGATGGTCCCGGACATTTTCCAGATCCTCGGCGCGGGCTCCAAGACCATTCCGCAGAGGGCTCCAACAGGCTCCAGGGCAGCCCAAGAGGGCTCCAAGACGGCTCCAGGAACGACTGCAGGGTCTCATTTTGCTGGTGTTTTCTGCAAGACGGCTCCAGGAAGACTGCATGTCTTATGAGGATGGCTTCCGCCTCTCGCCCCGAACATCCCAAACTGCCTGAACGGTTCCCACTCGCCTTCCCCAAACCCAGCGCTTGCCCAAGCGCGTTCCGGACGGTCTTCGCCGGAACGCGCTGGAATGATCACGCGCTGCGGTTTCCCATGCCAGCGTCCTCGGACGTGGGCGCCCTGCCACGAGCGCGTTCCGGGAAGATGCTCTCGGAACGCGCTGAAAAAATATGGCCACATCTCGGGTAACGCTCCCGGCACGCTTGCCCCAGCCTTTCCGCGGGCTGTGGCAGCCGCCACAGCGCTTTATTGGATGTCTGAGTCTTTGTTCTATTTTTGCTAGCTGGGGATGTGGGGTTATGTTTTTCATGTCTTTGTTTATGTTTTTTATTTTTGCTTGTATTTTTCTTTTTTTCTGATTATGTTTTTTTCTGTTTTTTTTTTTTATTTTTTTTCCTCTTTCTATTTTAAGTCTACTCCTTTTTATTTTTCCAGGAGGGCCCAAGACGCCCCCCAGGAGCCCCAGAATGCGAAAGGATGGCCCAAGACGCTCCCGAGCAGCCCAAGTCAGCCTTCCGACGGCTCTCGAGGCTCCCAGGTGGCCTCCAAGAGA